AAATTAAATTTACCTAAAATCTAACCTAACTATTTAGCATTGCATTGTGATTTATAAGGACCGGATTAGCCTTGTGTTGAACTGGTGATGATCATGAGTAATAATTAAATAAAACATACATTTGTTATCCAATATACATATATCTTAAATTTTATTAAGTTTCTTAAGTGGAAAACTAAACAAAATTATCAAACAAAGTATACCAAGAATAATTAAGAATAAATGTCCTTTGGGATTTATTAAATAATTAAGTGAATTTGCTACACAATACAAGTAATACCATAATTAATTTACCTCTTAGTACAGCCAACGTACATTACGCGGATAGACTGGAATTTTCTTGAAACACACCTGGAAAACCTGGAAAAGTCAGGGAATTTCATTCTTCTGTTTGAGTGGCAACCCTGGAATTTTAAAGAGTGCATTTATTTTATTGTGGTTTTTGCGCTATCGATGGAGTAGATTTAATTCAATCCAATACGTTTAAATGAAATGCAAGAAAAAATGTGTATAATTTAATATTCCGTACAAGGAAGTCGTGGTGCACACATCAAATTTTTCTTTCCATAGCAGTCATACACATAACCTCAATCCATATCTTATATCCCCAAAAGTATAAGCACCATATTTGAAACAAATATCTAATTCAAATATATTCACAGGCTGCATAAATTACTTGAGAAGTAATCATATGTGAATGATCTAAGCCATCTTACTTAAGCTTGTAATAAAGGTTAACAGAGCATTACATATACTTCTGTAAAAGGGGACAATTTTAAGTTTGGGTAACAAGATTGGCAGTGGTTATAAAAGTGATTTTCAGTTAAATTCAACAGCATGCATCAATACAGAAAGAGAGAGCTTGTCACTGTAATGTCCAAATATCCCCTAATCCTTGAAATCCTAACTAAAGATTAACTTATCAAACATGAAAATGAGTTTTAAAATTAATTAGTTGTTCATCTCCTACACACTGTATGTGTAGACTGTGAAAAATGAATATGTGTTAAAGATGATTTTTAATCAGTTATTTATTGTTTGCTGTATTTAGGGGAAAAAATATATTCAGGGTTGCCACGCTACCTGGAAAACCGGAAAAAGTCGGGGAATTCGGAAATTGACCAAAAAATTCATTGAAAAATCAGGGAATTTAAGTGTTTTAGTCAAAATCTGGAAAAGTCAGGGAATTTCATACAACAATCCCGCCAAAAAAGGCGAATTTTGCGCCGATGTCGGAAGAGATCACATTTTTTTGGCGAATTGTGTATCACGTGAGTGTCATTCGCGCTGCTGGCATAGAGCCAATTTTCGCAGCTCCAATTCGATTGTCTTTTTTAGAAAGGCAAAGCAAGTTTCCCGCAAGTTTTGGTTTCCAGTAACCTCGAGAATCGCATGTGCAGTGCATGAACTAAAGAAAGTACCTGTTCTCGTATAAAACAAAATGGGTTTAATCCTAGTATACGTTACCATGAAGGTTAGAATTAAAAAAATATGTATTGTAAAGAAGGAAAACCTCTCTGCAACAGACGTGGCTCAGTTCCATCATAGCGGGAAACAGCTGTGCATGCGCGATATATCTGTCGCCAAAGCTCGAAACCGCTGTCGAAGTTCAAAGGTCACATTATCAAGAGTTCATAAAATGAATATCGTTTAAAATGTCTTTAAAGGAAAAGAAAATATTTTTTGGCGCAAGTAAATTAATTCGTGGATTAGTAATTTTGAGGGGGGGGAAAGGCATTTCTTCTTGGATTTTTCGCAATAATTTAAAAACGGATTTTCGTAGTTTTCTTTTTTGTCAAAGAACGTTTCTTCTTAACACGTGTTTCTCAATTTCCTGTACACATCCGGAGAGGGAAATTCTGGCCATTCCGTTGTCAAATCCCTTGGCAAATTTTCCCTCCGCTTTTTACATAGACGTTCTTTGGTCAGAACAATCTCCATGTACGGTACAGCGGGATTTGGCGACATGATGATGAGCAGTAAACGGGTCATTTTGTTCATGGCGACAGTTTTCAAAATCATGCGAAGGCCGTATCATATACTAGGATTTTATCGCAAAATCTCTCTCTCTCTCTCTCTTTTTTTTTAATAAATACCTTGTCATTTTGCAGTAAAATAAAAAAATAGTACTCAATCATCTGGGATAACCATGTAATATAACTACCGTATTTATGCGAATCTAATGCGCCATCGAATCTAATGCGCATCCCCATTTTAAAACTTTAAATAATAAAAAAATTGTTTGTCGGCGAATGTAATGCGCATCAATGATATGAGGAATTTATTGAATCTTATTTTATACAACAATGGATTTGTATATAAACTGTCAATTAATGGTATGATAATTTTATTTAAATTTAGATACCATATTTTATACAACAATGGATTTATACATAAAGTAGCAGAACATAGAATTAACCTATTAGTGGGCTATTGTCATGTGAAACAATCATTGTTAATTAGCACTATACCGTTTATACGGTACCTATCGTAAAATATGAACATGAAATAAATCGTAACATTTCTATCTAGCTAACAGTTTCTACAATCAGTGATTAATAGTAAACGTCTTTATTCACTAATGTTTTCATCACTGGAATCCTCGCAGCTCTCTTCGTCAGAAGCAGATTCATTTCTTCTTTCCTCATCATCGTCATCGTCATACTCGGCGTTCCAGAGCATGTCATCGTCACTGCCATTCAATGAATTTGAAATGCAGCATTTCTTGAAAGATTTCACAATCATTGGTGTTTCGATGCTTTTCCAGGCAGCAGAAACCCAGTGTGCAACAATGTGCGGTGCAGCACGCTTAATTTTTCCTGTCGGGGTCAATACACGATTTGGCTCACAAAACCATTTTTCGTACTCCGCCTGAACGTACCCCTTAAAAGGTTTATTTATACTAACGTCCAGGGGTTGTAACACAGACGTCACCCCTCCAGGAATGATAACAAGATCACTGCCTAGGCTGTGCATCTTCTTTTTTACGTCGTCGGTGAGATGACCACGAAATGCGTCCAGACAAAGCATTGATGGTGGATTAGAGAGCCCACCGGGACGGCGTTTCCATACATTTCGGAGCCAATCAAGCATTAATTATTCCGTCATCCACCCCTTCTCTTGCTTTCGTATCAGGACATCATCTGGAACAGCTTTTCATTCTTAGGGTTTTTAGGGCGTGTTTTCCGTTTTAAGATTAAGAAAGGGGGAAGTTTGCACCCGTCTGCTGTTATTGCCAGCATCACTGTTACGCGTTGTTTTTCACATCCCGAAGTTTTGGTGATAACTTCCTTAGTCCCCTTCTCCGTAATGGTGTAGTTACGAGGCATATCAAACCAAATTGGCCGTCTCGTCAGCGTTGCCAATTTGCCCCATTGAAAAATTCTTTTCCTTCCGAAGTGTGATGACATACCACTGAAATGTTAGTAGTTTTCCCTCAAAATCTGCAGGAATGTTTTGACATATTGTTGTACGACGTCTTAGAAATAAACCCATCCGCTTCATAAACCGATCCACCCATCCACGGCTAGCCTTAAACTCTTGTTTCGGTATCCAAGAACTTCAGCCTCCTCTTTTGCTTTATTTCTTATGGTGTCACTAGTCACAGGTTGTCCATTCTTCCTCCTTTCACATACAAATTTCAAAACTTTTACTTCAATTTTAGGGTGTCTTCCTTTGCGAGGGCTAGTGAATTTCTTTTTACTAGCTTTAGTTGCAAACAGTGCCAATTTCTGTTGCCGCCACAAGCGAACATTGCTCTCAGCTACATTGAACTCTCTCCCTGCCTTTCTATTGCCATTTTTTTCAGCATAAAGAATACTTACGTTTACGTTTGAAAGTAGCGTCATATGACATTCTTCTCTGTTTGCCCTCCATTTCGTGACTACGTACTCTGCAGGTTGTATCCTCTATGCAATAATGTGTCAACGATAAATGTAACGGTAAATGTAGTGGAGAAATACAGAAATCCATTGGTTGACGTCATCGGTTTGAACTCATGCACTCGAATCTACTGCGCCATCGAATCTAATGCGCACCCCAATTTTGAATACTACATTTGGCCAAAAACGATGCGCATTAGATTCGCGTAAATACGGTATATTCGCTAAAATATCGTTGATTATTCTAATTAAATTTTTAAGTAATTATCTTTATTTTTATGTTATTCATATCATTTAATGTTGTTTCTTCCCTCTAAATTTATTTATCATTAGTAAATAATATTTCCAAATTTCAGGAAATTTTCTCTGGCATAATCCTGAAATTAATTCTAGCAGTATGATGACATCACGAAATTTAATGCACATATTTTTTCCTTGTGTATGCTGCGAAATAAATATAAAATACCTCAATTTAGTAAAAAAATATCATTAAATAGATTTCTTTCTTTCGTTTAGCTGCAGAATGTCTGCAAAAAAAGCCTTATTTTATTCCTGATTGGGCAGATTCTAATCTCAATCTTCAGTGGAGAAAACAACTCCTATTATAATTATATTTGTGTTTTCAAGTGTTAAGGTGCCTTTTAAGAATACACCTCACACAAATTTAATTTACCTAAAATCTAACCTAACTTTTAGCATTGCGTTGTGATTTATAAGAACCGGATTAGCCTCGTGTTGAACTGGGGATGATCATGAGTAATAATTAAACAAAACGTACAGTTGTTATCCAATGTATATATCTTAAATTTTATTAAGTTTTTTAAGCAGAAAAGTAAACAAAATTATCAAACAAAGTGTACCAAGAATAATTAAGAATAAATGTCCTCTGGGATTTATTGAATAATTAAGTGAATTTGCTACACAGTACAAGTAATACCATAATTAATTTACCTCTTAGCACAGCCAACGTACATTACGCGGATAGATTGGAATTTTCTCGAAACATACCTGGAAAAGTCAGGGAATTTCATTCTCCTGTTTGAGTGGCAACCCTGTATATTAATGATGATAGAGTATACCCTGCATTCATATTCTAGAAAATCTTTTTCTTCATTCTAGGTGAAAGTTCAGACACGAGATGATGAAAACCGTGTAAAATTTGCTGTTGGCATGATAATGAAGCATAAGATGTGAGTTCTTTGAAAGTTAGTTCAAAATAGATTCAATTGTTTCTGTAATTTATGTCATATGAAATGAGAGTGTTTGAGGTGTTCAAGAAAATGGAAACATCATTCTTTATCGTGTATTATGCATTTAAGACAAATCACTACTTTTGAAGGCTAAATTATTTAGTATCCTAGGAGTGCATGCTGGAGTTTTGTGTCACCATTAAAAATCCTCCAGATGCCAATTTGCTAAATTTTATTGGGAAATGATCTTTCTCTTTGAGCAAAACAGGAAACCAATTAATGTTTATATTATGTTTTTATGGAAAAGTCTACAATTACCTGTCAGTGATGGTTGACCCATTTATATAATAATATTTTTAAGTTAGTATTAATTACTAATTTTAAAATGTTTTATTATGTAATAAATTGAAAATTGTTTATTTATTTATTGATTTACTTAATACGTTTTCAAGCTTTTTTTTTTAACCAAATTCATTGAAAAAATGTCATGTTGAAGCAATCTAGAAGTATGTTGATTTAACATTTTTGAATTTTGGATATATTATAGTTTAGAAATTTGTGCTTGATCTCTTGCATAATCAGTCTGATGTTGAGAGAGGATGTTTTTTTTTTTTGTTAAAACTGTAAAGCATTGGCATGGTTAGTGAAGTAAAATAAAAGGCAGTGTAGTTTGGTTGAAAATACTGCTAAAAATCTCACATAAAAAATCTAGAACTAAAATATCTGTTAAATATCATGAATTTTGCGGAAAAGCACATGTAAACAAGTTAGAGTTGGGTAACAAGAAAAGAACCTAAAAATTGCATAGAAGTTTTAATCAGTCACTTCCAAGTATAGTACTATAATTGGGATCTTTCTTAAACTGAGTTTTGGTATTGTCCTTCTAGATTTTGATTTATCTGATCTATTAAAGTCTGTTTGAAAACCATATTCCTCTTATGTATGATCCTTGTATATCATTATCAAAAAAGTCCAACATAAAGTTTCAGAAATAGTTGAAGGTACAGAAATCTGATTATGTTACAAGCATGTATGTATATAATAATATACGGAATGAATAAATGCTTTTATCGTACTATTCCTAAGAGTTATTTAAATAAATGTTTTCTTTATTATCTTAAATAAAAGTTAAGGCTTGCAAATATATTTTGTGAGTAAATCCTTGCTGTATGCTTGTGCATAGCTGCCAGCTCTGTCGGTTGGTTTTACTAGGAGACTTTCAGTTTTTCAACGCATTTCTCGGTCTCGCAGTAGATCACCGAATCTTCCCCCCTTTTTCTTCTTTGGTTGCTGCTGTTGTTGTTGCCTTTAATCAAGAATATGTTTTTTTCAGTTACGTTTCATTATTGAATTAATGAAGCTTAAATTGTGCAAATTTCACCGTCCTCCATTCCTAGTGGTATTTAGCACTTTTTTTGTCATTGAATTTTAGTTGATCTGAATTGCCTTAATCATATTGTTGACATTTGTAAAATTAAATATGAAGATTCATCCAAATATTTAATCAACGAATATTTGTATTTAATTTTATTTTAGGTCAGCATGTAGATCCCCATTTCGGAACAAATATGAAAAGTACAATGCAAATAATTTTATTTTCAGTATATTTAAAAGTACTTTGATAATATAAAGCTTTTCTTCACTAAGAGTTTTCTTTCACTCAAGAGTTTTCTCAAAGCATAAGAAAATTACAAAATGAAATTAGCTAAAGGACATAAAACTTAGACAGGGTTTGTAGCGGTCGTTATAAGTGCTTATAAGTCCTTATATTTGGAAATAAAATATAAAGGCCCTTATAGGTGCTTACTTTTTCTTTAAAGCCCTTATTTTTTTGTTTTTAGTGCTTATTTTTTGCTTTTAGTGCCTTTTTTTTTTAATGAATGCGCTATTTTTCCTCGTACCAAAGCCGAAATTAAATAAACAACTTTTCTTCCTAATATGGTGAGTCGTACTCCCGGAAATAGCTTTTCCCCCTTTCTCTGCATTAACATAGCCTTTGGTGTGCACGAAGAGTACAGACAGGTGCCCGTCATTCTGTTGGTCAAAGAATTGTGAAAACAGTAGAAAATTCCGCTACATTTGGCATTCTTTTCCTCCCACCCAAATACTACACACGTTTGAATTTCTATCAAGATCTTAATAATTTGCATTCTCGTTCCGCTTGGTCATTTCATATTCGTGTTTATTATGATCGTTATGGGTATATTATGAGCATATGTATGAATGTTTATAATAACGTAGTTGCAGTAACTGCTGAAGTATAGTAAACTTCCAAAAATGGTTGTGTTTTAACACAAATTAGCTTTCTAAGGAATAATATTCAAAATGGCTTAAATAAAGGGAAAGTAATCGAATAGTCAAAATAATTTCATTTTTTTGACCAATACATTATACAGTACGAAGGTTGGGAGGTCTCCCCTTTCTCACCTTTTTTTTGGGGGGGTCACTTTCCAATCTGGATTGAATAGGACTAAAAGTTCTGCGGTCTACCAACCCAAGCGAATAATGTTTCTGTTCCAGAAATTTAACGTCGTCTGTTGAAAATTAGAATGAAAAACACCCCAGTTATTTAGTTCTTATTCTCCCAATACCGGTAGTTGTTGATTCCGATTGCGTAATATCACGTTGGGAAGAATTATGGCGCATGTATTGCGCAATAACGTTTGTGATATTTTGCAGAGATAATTAATTTTGATGTTCAGTCCGAGATTTGTTTATGAACACTTAAAAGAGTTTTACTGTGCTTGCTAAGCAGAATATTTTTCTGTTCCGTTAGGTTTATTTTTATATGATACACATATTGAAATGTCAAAAGCATTATTTAGCGGAAAAATCTAAAGAACGGCTACAGTATCCCTTCCCTCCGCTCCTCTTTTTCAAGTTACGCTCGACTGTTCCGAATATTCGCTAGTTTTCAAGTATGTCGGGTTAGTTAAGCTTTTACTGTTATAAGGATGACTGCATGAAGCAAATTTCTGTCTTCTGATTTCAGAAATGTTCCTCTTCTTTTACTTAAATTACTTTGCTTGCGATATCTGTTAAGAGAAAACTGATATACAAAGAAAATTTAGAAAATGTTCAGAATTTAGATTTAAATTATTTAAATATCAATATGAGTGGAAAAATAAATTGCATTTAATATTAGGTTCCAAGCGAATACAGTAAATATGCCTTATTATTATTTATTTTCTCTATTTTGAACTGAAATTTCATCATTAAATCTTGTAATATAGTTTAGTTCTTCATAGTTTTTTTTCCTCTCATTGTAAACTAGTTCTGTAAATTGAACTATTATTTAAAATTAAAAACAAAAACAAAAAAAAATATTTTCCATAGTTGAGGTAATGCTTATTCTCTCTTAATAAGTACTTCATTTCTCATATTTTAAATTACAAGTCTAATTTTTAAGGTTATGCAGTTGTGTGTGATGTAATTAGACAGGTGCTTATTTTTTCTTAAAATGTGCTTGAAAAGTGCTTATAGGTGCTTATTTTTTTAACTAAAATGTGGCTATGAACCCTGTTAGACTATGTAATTAAATATTAATATATTTTATGTCAGAATATGGCCTGTGCTAGAACTGGTGCTGTTCCACCAGGCAGCAGAATTTAGGGGCAGTAATTTTTTTTAAATTAGAAAAGCACTGGGTAGCCGAATAGAGGACCCACATAGACTGCATTGGGCAGCAAAAAAGACTAGCACTGGCCCTACATCAGAATTATACTATAAGCAGTTGAATATCATATGTTGTATAGTGAATTTAAATCAATTTTGAATTCTTTTAAAATGATGTTGCACAGTACAAAAACTTCCCAGAAACTCCTGATTTTACATATTTCAAGGTTGGCAGCTATGCTTACATATTTTTAGAAACATTTGCTTAAATTTTATTCTTAATAATAGGTATAATTATCGCTGCGTCATATATGGTTGGGATAGTGAGTGTGTTGCCAGTAGAGATTGGATAAAGCAAATGGGTGTATACAAACTTCCCAGCAAAGATAGACAACCATTTTATCATGTCTTAGCAGAAGATGGAACAAACAGATATGCTGCTCAAGGTACAGTTTCCTTATTGTATTTGCTGCAATTGAATGTATTATTTTTAAATGTTTCATTTCTGTAATATACATTAATAGTCACAAAAACTACTTTTTATATTGAGATAATTGCCTTGAATGTGCCCAAATGAAGTTATGAAGTTTCACCACCAATTTTGGGGTATTTTATTTGCCATTATTTCTGCATATCTGGATATGTGTATAATAACTCATAAATAATTACCAAGAAAAAATATGAAGTCGTGCATAATTGGTTTGACATTTTTGTTGTTGTTTATGAGTATGGAATTATACAGTAGAATTTTGATAATTTGCACCATTTACATATATATATATATATATATAAATCAAAATCTCGAAAATCAGAACGAAAAAGAAAATGCCCTATTAAGTATTTGAAGGTTAAATCTATTTTCTGTGTGTAACAAAATAAACTGGTAAAATGCAAATTAAAGAAAATTACAAAATTGAAAACAGAAAATGTTCATTTCAAAGAGGAAAAAATATAGAAAACAGGAAATTTGTACATAATAAAACCAGGGGTACATAATAAAACCTTCATCAGGGGAAAGGAATATTGAAATCAGTTAAATTCTCTCTTCTACAAAAATCCTTGCTTTTCTGTATCCAGAATTAGCTGATGAATCATTTCAATGTATTTTAATTATAATAGTTCACCCAGAAATTCCAGCCCTTTCCCAAAGCAAGGAAGAAGATCCAATTAGAACTTGTACTTTAAATAAAGAGAATTCTATTTTGTTTAAAGAACTGAAACCGGAATTGAATAATTAAAATACTTCAGTAAAAAAATAAATCAAAATTTTACTTTCAAACATATATCACATAATCCAAAGTATTTTAGTGAAATTATAAAACTTAGGTGGAAAAACATTTTTCGTTATACAATACTAAATGTTCTAAAATTCTTTAGCTGTAAAAGCAAAGAATTCCAATGGGAAGTTCATATTATATTCATATTTGTAACTTATTTCTATTTTCTAAAGAATACAAATTCCTAAAGAGCCTTTCTGCTATCTATTTCAGGTAAATTTGAACACACTTATAGATATATTGACGACATTCCCTTTGAATCTAACCTTCAGCATTTTTAATCTCATTGAAAACAGCAACATCTATGTCTAAAACCAAATAAGATCAATAAAGACCAAACAGAAATAGTATATCTTGATCTAAGTGTTCATCATCTTGCAGAAATGAAACTTTTTTGTAAAAAAAAAAATCTTTTAATTTTTCTACTAAAAATCATAAATTGGTTTGGTTTATTTAATTATGGCGAAGCACACTAGGGCTATCTGCCTAAGAATAGGGATGCCTTTGTGGAGGCCTTTCTAAGGGAAACTGACTTGTATACATGTTACATATGTGGAAAACCACAAAAACGCCCATGCAGCCAGCCCGTTCACGGGATTCGAATCTCGGACCGAACTACCAGTGTTCAGCGACTTTACTGCTCTGCCGCTGTTGGGCGTCTCATAAGTTGGAACTCCAACATATCTAAAAAAGTTATTGCAAATACTGTTATTAACCTTCCAGCACACGCACTGGGCAATTTTACATGAGCGCAGACACGTCATATTTTTTATGTTATTTTTTACCGTTTTTGGCACGAAAAACGACAGAAATGAGTGAATATTGATAATAAATTTGTTAAGAAATAAAATGTTAATCTTATTGCAAAATACAAATGATATCACATTCAAATATAAGTAAATTATTTTTAAGTTCTTATGTTAGTGAGATGCAAGTGCAATGATGTATTTCATTATAGAAAATTTTTAATTTATTATTTAATAATTATATTTTAAAATCAAAGCTAATTTCAATATTCATCAAAGGCAAGTATAGTCAAATAAAAAAGGAAAACACTTTGGGAGGAAAAGTTTAGCATTACTTACTTCTGCAAGGAAATTTACTTCTTACTGGTTACAAAAACGCACATTAAACTAACCTTAATATTTTTATTTATTTCTAAAAAATAAGAATAAAAGAAACAAGGATTGGAAAGAAAATAAGGAATGGAAATAGCTATTGTTCTCCCATCCAAAGGTTTCCTTGTTTTTTCCTTTTCTTCATCAGATAATTCTTGAAGAATGTGAGCAAAATCAGCTGGTTTGCCATGAAAACCGATATAAAATCCGATATAAAATTTACAGAACCAAATGTATTCAAATTAAAATAATACACAGCAATTAATAACACAAAATTACAAAATATTTGAGAAAAAAAATATTTTCTGAATTTTCACCCACGAGCACGCGTCTGTCATAAACTTTATGAAAAAGCTGGCACGTAGCACAAAAGCTCAGTTAAAAAAAAAAGTCAAGTGACTTCCTATTGACACATTCCATGATGTGGGGAAGGGTAGAAAGGAGGAATAGAAATGACCGTCAGACGTCTCAGCTTCGATATGCGAAAAATGTGCATTAAAAACTGAATTTGTCATAAATTTGCACATACGTGCGTACTGGAAGGTTAATCAAATCAGCAGAATTAAAAAAGTTTGCAGTGAAATAAAAACACAAAAAGAAGAAATTATAATTTTCACCAAAATTTTGAAACATAATGAAATTTCTTTAAAATTTATTAATAGTCTTTTAAAGAGATCTGGAGTAGTCTACACCCTATAATTATAAAAATAAAGTATGAATTATATAAAAGTATGAATTTTTTATCTGAAAGCTCCAAAACAGAAGGATAAAAAGGATTTTTTAAAGGGTTTATAGGTTTTTATTTTTATTTTACTTATAATTACTTAAGCCCATGACATGAAGACTTTTTACTTTTCTAATAACAGTTCATTTATTTCTTTTTTCTACCTTTTTCTGTAATTTTAATTTAAAAAAATCTAAAATTGGATTTTTCTACTCAAATCTTCAGAACAATTAATAAAAACTTTTTGACCAATTTTTAGGCAACTTTTTATGATTAATTTTTATAGAATAATTGTTTTTAAAATTTAATTAAAGTTTTAAACTGAATGATGTTCTTTGTTCCCATTTTTCAAAGAGTCACAATTTACTTTCTCTCAATTAATATTGTAATCTTTTTCTTTGTAAAAATTTAAAGAATTTTCATTGAATTATTTGGAAGTTTTTCTTTTGGTTTCAAAAGTCCGTCGTATGTTCCAAATTTTAGCCTTTTGAGCGATTACTTTCTCTCCAAGGTTTTTTTGTTTTGCCAATGAAGCTAAAATGGCAACCTGTAAGTCACTACAGTCCAGATTACTTGCTTCCATTGAAATCTAATGAAAAACAATTACATTTTTTTCCACTAAGTTTTATAATTTCACTAAAGTTTAAAATGCTTTGAATTATGCGATATATGTTTAAAGGTAAAATTTTGATTTATTTTTTTTACCTGAAGTATTTTATTATTCACTTTGGTTTCAATTCTTTTAACAAAATTAAATAGAATTCTCTTTATTTAAAATACAAGTTCTAATTGATTTTTTCCCTTGTTTTTTTTCATTTAAGTTTTATAATTTCACTAACATTTAAAATACATTGGAATATGTGATATATGTTTAAAAGTAAAATTGTGATTTTTAGTCCAAAGGGGCTTTGTCCCTGAAAGACTATTATATACTGTGAACTATTATATTTAAAATATATTGAAATGGTTTGTCGGCCAATTATGAATGCAGAAAAGCAAGGATTTTTGTAGAAAAGAGAATTCAATTGATTTCAATATTCCTTTTCCCTGATGAAGTGGCATTGAAGTTGAAGTACTCTTCTATTATGTTCTGTTTTCTTTTAATTTCTTTAAAGAATTTTTTTTTTAAGTTTTGGTTTTCACATTTATTAAATTCTTTGTTGTATTTATTACATTATTTGAAATTTATTAATTATGAATTTCAAAATTTTCGTCTTTGTTCTAAACATTAGTTCTAAATTCTTACTTTGTCTTTAATGATAAATAAATAAATAGGCTTATATATAATATATCTATATATATATATATATTTTAAACATTTAATTTTATAATGTTTAAATTATAAATTAAAAAATATATATCTATATTATATTTTAATTTTATAATTTAAAACATTTATATATATATATATATATATATATGAAAGTACATTTACTTTTTCATAAATCCAGAAAAGTAAAATTAAATCTTTAAATTTTTAAAAACTATTATTATAATTAGAAATGAATGACAGAGAGATGTAAAGAATCAAAACAAACTGAATTTCATTACTTGGATTGTTCTTACTGTACTTCTTGAAAAATCTAGCTTATGCATGATGAAGAGTGTAATAAAATTTAACATGGAAAGAGCAGATGTTACCTCAAGAATTTAGTAAAGGAAAAAGTTATAAAAAATTATGCTGTGCAGACGTGTTCGCTCTAATTGGTTCACTGGTGACGCTGAAATAATAATAAAAACAATTCGTCGCCATCCTCTTTTAGACACACTTGAAAAAAAAATAAAAATAAAAAATTGCATCTTTCCAGAAGAATCCGAAACAGCGACTAAGGTTGCCATATTGCTCAGCATAAAGCAGACTGTTGGATAATATTATTAGCAGTGTAATTTATGGATGTTGTCTGAAGTATCATCAATAACTCCATTACTTTTTGTTTGAGCTAGATTTTACTGAATCCAAATAGCAAAATTTAGTTCAAAATCAGATTGCACAGTTCCTGAATACTTGAATATTCTTATAAATAACATGTCCCTCATTGCAAGAAGAGAGAATAACAGTCAAGATTTAGCTTGTTATTTGAAAGTTTTTATTTAATGATAGTACTGTAATATTTGTAATCTCAGGTAAACAATTTATAAAGGTAAGTTGTGTAAAAACTTTTGTAATAGTGAATCTAAAAAATTTGGTAATTAGGTATTTTGCTTATCAGATAATTGATTTTCCATGAGTAAGATTGTTTATTTATTATTTAAAATGTCTGCAGGTAATCATAATGATATTGTTTATTTGTTGTTTAAAATGCCGAAGGTTAAACATGATATAAAAGACTAGAGCATTACAAAATGTATAATGCATGCTAAAAATATTACTGCATTCAGCTGGAAAGTTGAATTTTTTGATTTGCAGAATATGAAAACACTGAAGTAATTACCATATTGCTGTTCAACTTAGTCTCTACCTAAACTGTCTGTGCTTGACAAGCTTGTAGTTACAACAAGAAATAAGTTTCTTTGACACATGCAGCCACTGCAATGAACAAACCCCATCATCATCCTGGAACACGTTTCTTTACTCAGAAATTACCCAGTGCTCATTTTCTGTGATGATACTATGGAGAAATACTTTATACTCAACCTTATATTGATGAATTTAATAAGCATTTATACATGTTTTATTCCAGGTATTAAGCCCTCGTGTATCCATCTTGTATATACTTTGTGAAACTTCCACTCGTTTCACTAGGCTGATCGAGGAGTAAGGTTCAATAATGATGCTACCTTCTTGATTCTACTGAACATGACACAAGAAGACTAGTACATCTGTTTTCCTGTCTGGTGTTGTGTAGAGCCAGGAAAGTGGCTGTAGAATAGACTATTTTTAGAAATACATTTAACATTCTATAGAATCAAGGAAGATTGCAGCCATCTTGTCAAATTGTTTCTTGTATTCCTCTGCATGTCACTGTAAGCCACTGTGTGACACTTTGCACACGACACCAACTAGACAACATGATGCTTTTTCCATTGTTTTGCATACAACACTATCATTACCAAGTTCTGTCGTGCGTCATTTTGATCTCTACACTAATGTGGTAACATTGATATTTTCTCACTGTTTTGCACATGATAGCATTATTTATTCACCAGCGGTGCACACAACACTAATATGACGACACTGGCATTTATCTGTCAGCAGGGTTCGTAGCGGTCCTTATAAGTGCTTATAAGTCCTTATATTTGAAAATAAAATATAAAGGCCCTTATAGGTGCTTACTTTTTCTTTAAAGCTCTATTTTTGGTTTTTAGTGCTTATTTTTTGCTTTTAGTGCTTTTTTTTTTTTTTTTTTTTTAATGAACGCGCTATTTTTTCCCGGTACCAAAGCCATTACTAAATAAACAACTTTTCTCTAATATGGAATGTCAGATGGTGAATCATACTCCGGAAATAGCTTTTCCCTTTCTCGCATTAACATAACCTTTGGTGGCAAGAAGAGTAAGACAGGTGCCGTCGTTCTATTGGTCAAAGAATGCAAAGTAATAAAAGGAAAGTAATCGAATAGTCAAATAATTTTGTTTTTTTGGCCAATACATTTACGTACGAAGATTGGGAGTTCTCCTCTTCTCCGCAAAATCTCGAATATTGAACTGTTACAGTTCGGCAAACAAGCAACGGACTTTTTTTTTTTTTTTTTTTTGTCACTTCCAATCTGGATTGAATAGGACTAAAAGTTCTGCGGTCAACCCAAGCGAAGAATGATTCTATTCTGAAAATTTAACGCCGTCTGTTGAAAATTAGAATGAAAAACACCCCAGTTATTTAGTTCTTATTCTCCCAATACCGGCAGCTGTTGATTCCGATTGCATACTACACGTAGGAGGAATTATGGCGCACGTATGCGCATAACGCTTGCAATATTTTGCAGAGATATTAATTTTGATGTTCTGTCTGAGATTTGTTTGAAACTTAAAAGAGTTTTACTGTGCTGCTAAGCAAATATTTTCAGTTCCATTGGTTTATTTTTAATGATGCGCATATCGAATGTCAAAGCATTTATTTAGCGGAAAAATTTAAGAGGGCCTACCCTACCCCACCCCCCTCCGCTCCTCTTTTTCAAGTTACGCTCGACTGGGCCGTATTCGCCAATTTCCAAGTAGGCTTGTTAGTTAAGATTTTACTGTTAAAGATAACTGATAAGCAAATTCTGTCTTCTGATTTCAGAAATGTTCCTCTTTTTTACTTAAATTATTGCTGCAATGTCTGTTAAGAGAAAACTGATATACAAAGAAAATTTAGAAAATGTTCAGAATTAGATTAAAATTATTTAAATTATCAATATGAGTGGAAAAATAAAATTGTATTTATTATTAGGTTCCTAGTGAATACAATAAATATGCCTTATTATTATTTTTTTCTCTGTTTTGAAGAAAGTTCATCATTAAATCTTGTACTATAGTTTAGTTCTGCATAGTTTTTTTTTTTTTTTTTTTCCTCTCATGTAAACTAGTTCTGTAAATTGAACTATTATTTAAAATAAAAAAAAAAGTAATTATTTTCCATGGTTGAGGTATGCTTATTCTTTCGAATAAATACTCATTCTCATATTTTAAATTACAAGTCTAATTTTAAGGTTATGCAGTTTTGTATAATGTAATTAGACAGGTGCTTATTTTTTTCTTAAAATGTTCTTGAAAAGTGCTTATAGGTGCTTATTTTTTTAACTAAAATGTGGCTATGAACCCTGTGTCAGGTTTACTTGTAACACCAAGATCCTGCTGATCAGTAGCAGAGTGTTAATCAGATACTGCTCTTCAAGTATCTCAAGGCATCAAGGTGCATAGGTGTATAATTTTAAGATTGTCATGTGAATTTGTTGCTGAGTGAATGTGTATATTACTCCTCTATAATAATGCATCAATTAAACTACTTATAGATGTTGAAAATTATTAAACATGCTATTATTAAACATTTATTACCCATGTTACTTTAAATTAGTTTATTTCTTTTTAATTTTCACAGAAAACTTGGAAATAGACAATGAGATTGAAGAGATAACACACATTGAAATTGGAAGATATTTTGAGTCATACCATGAGAATTATTATCGTCCAAACAAGCAAAAGGAATTTGAGTATCCTCAAGATGGTGAGGCTCGTATGAAAATCTTAAGTTCTATCAAAGACTCATAAGTTAAGAACAACTTGTTGAAGTACAAAATAAATTTGTAAATGTTTTTGTATAATTGGTAAGGTTAGTGATTTTGTTTCATACAAAGCTTTCATTTTTTGATGGAGTTATTTTGTAACATAGTTGATGTGCATTCATATATATATTGTACAGTTTTAAGTGTTAGATATCATTCATTGAAGGCATTCTGTTAGAATTTTTTTAAAGCGGTAAGTTTTTTTAAAATTTATTTATAAACAAAATATATATGCATTTGTGTAGTTTTGATACAAACTTTCAATCAATATTACCTTTGTGTTTGCAGTATAATAATATTGCAAAGCTAAATTTTATAGCCAAGAATTAAACAAGAAAATCTAAAACTTTTTAAACAGACATTTTATTGTTTTATGAATCTTTTATATGTAAACTAAAGGAGATATCTTGAATTATCTTAATCTATCAAAATAATTGTTGAACTCTTTTTTAATATGCCTATAACACACACACACACACAAAAAGAAAATATCAGTATCTCATATGCGTTAAAGATTTAACAGTATTCATATAGCAGTGACATAAATATGTGAACATGAATGTAGAATTTGCTTAAACTTTTTCATCTTATAACATGAATTAAGATTGTATTCCTATATTAATTTTATTATTTTTGTTGGAAATAAAATATTGTAGAGATATGTTAAACAATAAAGATAAATTGATCTAAAGGGAAGAACCATATGAGTGGTGAAAATGAAAAAATAAATAAAATAAAATAAAAAAACTTGTTTATCTCTCTCTGTCTCTTTTGTTTTTTTTTTTTTTTAATATGTAATTTGATTTGTGTGATCAAATGTTTACTTTTGTAATTCACTTTGTAGAAATATGTAATAAAGATTTAATAACATCCTTTTTGATTATAAATATTGAGCAAAAAGAATTGCCTTAGAAATTTATGGTTTGAGATTTGTCTATGTAAGTAATTAATGAAGCTGTAATAATTCTTAATGTATATTGAATAAAAAGGAAATATTTGGTTTGAGTTATGTCTTGAATTTTAAGTAGATTTGTTTTGCTATATATAATCAATCAATAATTTATTTAAATTTTTAAGTTATCCCATTAAAAAGAATATGTTATAGTAAATTATGATCTACCAAAGGAAATTTTAACATTGGAATAAGTTGCATGTAACTATTAAAAGCCTGTTACATTGAAAGATATAAAACTCAAGAGGCAAAATTACCTAGACGATGTTCCAAATCTTGAATGATGAGCTCTAATGCAAATGTTTTAATCTGAAAGAAAATTGATTAGCCCTAGAATACTGATTGATTATTGATTGGCCCTGGAATGATGGTGTTATAAGTGACTTATCCAATCAAATATAAATTAGAGGATTATCAAGAAGCTAATATGAATGATCAGGGAAAGAGTTTTACTTAGTGTCAGCTTGAACTAGCATTTGAAAATTAACTGCTTGAACCAAAGTCTAAAATATCCTTTAAAAGCCTTTGGCCGCCCTAATCTGGTCTCTCCCAGAGTGTCTGTAGTTTGGTCAAGATCCAGTGATGCCATAATCAGGCTTGATATTCTTCCTTGAATTCTCTGTCAATCAACTTGGCATTATATCTGGTCTTCATCCTCTTGGTCACAGTTTTGATCTTTCTTCTGATGAACTGATGAATGTCCTTTAACCATTTGACTGCTATGCGGCTCAAAAGTGCTGCGTTCATTTGTCTCGAAAAGTTGTATCGCGATGCAGTTAGTTATTTTAGAATGCACTCGTGTTACAAAATATGCGTGAGGTCAGACTACGTTCATACCCCCGGGGAGCAACAAAGACACACTGAAACTAGCAGTGCAAAAGCGCTGTGTTGCGGTTTTCGAGACAAATGAACGCAGCACTTTTGCACCGCGTAGCAGTCAAATGGTTAAAGACACTGCAGATTTTCCAAATATAGCTTAAATGAAGAAGGTGTGTCCGGTCATTGCAGATGAAGATCATGCAAATTCCAGTTCTGTCATGAGCAGCACTCCTATATGCTAGCAAGATTAATGAAAATGAAGGAAAATTTTAGAGTATATTACAATCATAATAATGCGGTGCAGAATAAATGACTGTAAATAGCTCAAGGAGAATATGGATATTGAGCAATTCCTTATTAATGCATGAGAAATATTGTAAATTTTCAAAAAAACACTCATAGAAGATCTTAGAATTGATTAAGAACTGACTATTCTTGGCTGTCAGAGTTATATTTATATAGTGTTGCATGGGATTCTCGCTCCTAGAGCTTTGAATTTTTTTTTTTTTTTTTTTCTGAATCTTCTAGAAATTTACAAAGTTACTGAAAATTTGCCAAATGTCATCATTGTTTGTCAGAAACCTTTTTGGCCATATCTTGCATTTTATTTCAGCTATTTTTACAAAAAGTTGATGAATTCAAAAATGAAAGGTCTACAATTTTACATAAGAAGTAAACACACATGCAAAATTGCTATTATTGCTATTGCCACATCTCCAATTACACCTTTAAACATTTGAGCAATTGATCAAAATGCAAAAATAAATAACACAATATATCTCGAGCGTACCAATCCAACAGGAAACTTGGGCATGTTGTAATATTTAAAAATTTCAACATCCAAACATCTAAAAAAAATATTCCAAAAATCATTATTTCTCAAAAATTTCGGAAACGCAGAAATACAACAATAATTACTCATAACGTTAATTTTAACAATAAATCTTTGGGTTCTAATCTTAGCAAAAAGGAAAATGAGATCTTACGTGAAATTCATTCTGATACTAATATCATTATCTCTAAAGCTGATAAGGGCGGACAGATCGTTGTTATGGACAAACACACATATATTACTGGAGTCTCTAAATTGATAAATGAAGGCCCATACTGCTCGATCCCTAAAGATCCTTCAACTTCGGACCTCATGAAAGTAAAAAGTGCTATTAAATCTTCCCACATTCTGCCAACTCAGTTGAAGAAATCACTTATTCCGCCTATTACTAATTGCGCTAGACTTTATGCTCTTCCAAAAGTCCACAAAACCGGTATTCCTTTTCGACCAATTGTTTCCAACATAGGTACTGCTTCATATCCTTTGGCCAAATATTTAGTTTCCAGATTTTCTCCTCTACTTGATAACAATATTCACACTGTAAAAAATTCTGTTGAAGTCATTGATAAACTTAAAAATATTTCCCCACTTCGTTCCATTATGGTTTCATTTGATGTCAAATCATTGTTTACTAATGTTCCGGTCGAAGGAGCACTAAATTGTCTTGAAACTAGGCTTCGGGAATTTCACTTCACACATACTGAAATTAATGAGTTGGTTTCGCTTACTAAAGTTTCTCTAAGTCAAACCCACTTTGTTTTCCAAAATGCATATTTTCGTCAAGTTGAAGGATTGGCTATGGGTAATCCTCTCAGTCCGGTACTTGCTGACATTTATATGCACTATTTTGAGATGAAAAATTATTTGATAAATTATCTTTTCGTCTTTGGATTCGGTATGTTGACGACACTTTCGCACTTTTTGACGGTTATAAAGAGGATTTATCCGAGATTCTATCTATTATGAATTCAATTGATCCAGCCATCCAATTCACTCTTGAAATTGAATCCAACAATTCCCTCCCCTTCCTCGATATTCTTATAATCCGCAATGAAACCGATTTTAGCACCACTGTGTACCGTAAACCCTTTGCAGTTTGTTTACCACCCCATGCCAAGTCATGCCACCCTGTTAAGCAAAAAATGGCTTCTTTTTACTATTATGTTTTCCGCGCGCTAAAAGTTTGTTCCTCTGAATCTTTGCTTTACCAATGAACTTAATTATTTGAGAGCAGTTGCGATTGACCGTGGATTTTCTCCCGTGATTATTGATAAAGCCGTCAAAAAATTTTCAGATTCCCATCAAAGAAGACATTCCACTGTTAGAAATAATATCAATGACCTTGTCGTGCTTCCATTTTATCCTTCTGTTAGCTATAAAATTGCACGGATTCTCCAGAAATTCAATTTTCAAGTCGGTTTCTCCCCTATTAATAAAATTCACCCTTCGATTCTAAAAGATTGCGTTTCTGTCTTGAATTCTTGGGGAATTTATAGTATATCATGTCAGTGTGGTTTAAGATATATTGGCCAAACAAAAAGAGCGTTGAAGTTTCGTATCAAGGAACATGAATCTTATGTCAAAAAAGGGGAAATTAACAAGTCTTCAATAGCGTATCATAGCTGGACTTTTAACCATAATTTTGATTTTGGGTCTGCAAAAATCATCCAAAAGGCTTCTTCCATAGGCGAATTGGATTTTCTTGAGGCTTTTCACATTCACAAAGATTTAGAAAGTTTAGTTAATGATTTGAAGTCCAATCCAGTCCTTCCTAATGCCTTTAAAATTCTACTGTCTTAATTCAATTATTTTTGCCGATAGATGGCGTTACCTCCTCGCACTTGGTACTACCAGAGGGTATAAAAATCCGTTCAGTGGTTGCTTTCCATTATTTGAAGTTCAGATTTTGAGCGTAATGTGCATTTGCCCCTCGCTCCCTATTTTAACTTCGCTAATATTTCTTTATGCTTGATCAGACAGCCTGGCTCAGTAAAAGTAGGCGGCCAGTGCAACTCTGATTAAAAATCTAGTTATAACCACGTGCAGTGCTGATAAGCACCACGTGTTTCTGTGATTCCTATTTTCTTCTTTCTATGTATTTCTTTCTCCTGATGAGGAGGGACCTTTAGCTGCCCTCGAAATCGATTGAGTGTTTCATTATACCTACGCTAAATATAAGGTTGTTTTTACGATT